TCCTGTGAGACACCGAGCCCAGCAGTCATCACTGCTCCTCTGTCTCCAGGACGAAGTCCCAGCGGAAGGCGGGCAGTGGGAGTGCCCAGCCGTGTGACAGCATTGTGGTGGCCTACTACTTCTGCGGGGAGCCCATCCCCTACAGGACCCTGGTGCGGGGCCGTGCAGTCACCCTGGGCCAGTTCAAGGAGCTGCTGACCAAGAAAGGCAACTACAGGTGAGAGCCGAGGGGCTGGCTAGGGGCAGGGGACCCTGCGTGTGGTCACTGCACGTGTTCGGTGTCGGCTCCCAGCAGACGGGCAGCAGGGTCTGCCGCTCACATGAGGAGGGTGGGGCCACCGGGCCTGGAGAGGAGGGCACAAGGCTCTCGTCTCCTCTCGCCCCTGTCCTGCAGATACTACTTCAAGAAAGTGAGCGATGAGTTTGACTGCGGAGTGGTGTTTGAGGAGGTTCGGGAAGACGAGACCGTCCTGCCCGTCTTTGAGGAGAAAATCATTGGCAAGGTGGAGAAGGTGGACTGACAGGTGGGCCTGGCCTCTGTGCTGGGTTGGGCCTGCGTCCGTCAGGGGCCGGGGCCGCACGCAGAGCGTCAAGAGGGTCGTGCTGTGTTGTGTGCTTCACGCAGCTGCTGGGAGAAGGCCAGGTGCTGCCTGCCCCGCAGCCGGCCTCCTCTTGGGTCCATCTGTGTGCAGATGGGCGGGGGTCCCTTTGCGTGGTCCCACAGGCCTCCACCCTGCAGCTGACAAGGAGGGTGCCCTGTCCGCTCCTCAGTGATACTCAGAGAGTCCGCCTGAGTGGGGAGCCCGCCATGGCGCCGCATTTGAACACCCTCTCCAGCAGTGCCCCGCTGCTGACGGCGGGCAGACGCACCCACTCCTCGCCCTGGCGCTCACACCGCAGGCTCTGCCCCTCCTTCTGGGACTTGTCCGCCACACGGTACCCCGGTCAGGCCTGGCCTGGGCCTAGGGCGCCAGGGGCCCTGTGGGGGCTTCTGTAAATTGTACATGTCACCGAGTGCCTTCGACACAGCTTGTCTCTTGCCTGCCACTGTGTGGATCCGGTGATGGAGCCCCTTAGCGCTCTCCCTCCTCCACCCTTGTTTCCAGAGCGCTGGCTTAGCGGGTCCCGGGCCCCTCCCCTCTAAGGGCCCATGTAAATATGTACATTTCTCAGGCCAGGGCCAGTGGGGGCTGCCCCTGCCCATTTTTCATGCGCTGACTTGTACAATTATCTTTTCAAAGGTACTTGGATAATAATGAAATAAAATCATTTTTGAACCTTCTCTGGCTGTGGAGTATACCTGTCTTCTGTGATGGGGCCTGGCTGTATGGCCTGCCATCCCCTGCAGGCCTCGGAGGGTTAAGTGTGTGTGTGTGTGTGTGTGTGTGTGTGTGTGTTGGGGGGTCTTCTGGAGGCACGGGGACAGAGCTCTGGAGAGGAGTGGGTTCCCAGACTCAGATCTGAGTCAGGAATCTACCCAAAAGGGATGGGGGCAAGGGCTAGGCCCTACTCAAGATGGAACGGGGCCCAGGAGGCTATCTGGCTAACCCCAAGGGCCAGGCGGCCAGGCGTGCTCAGGAACCACACACAGTCTAGGACCAAAGCTCTTTCTTTATTCACTGCCCAGCTCCCAGGGCACTGTTGTGGGGGCAGCAGATGGCGATGGGGGGGCAGCTACAGCTCCTCTTTGGGCTCTGTGGTGGAGTTGGCAGGTGTCTCCTGGAAAGGGTCACAGAGGCCCAGCTTGAAGCTGCACCCTTGGTTCACCCCTACCCCTGGCAACCCCAGTGCCACATGTCAGGCTTGTCCAGAGAGTGGGAACCTTGGGACAGAGGCACCCACCGGGTCGGGGGCTGTGGGTTCCCCTGCAGGCTCCTCTGCAGGCAGCTTGCCCCCATTGTCCAGGAACTTGGAGAAGGTCTCCAGGTCCCTAGTGCTCTTGTATTCAATCACCTGAGGAGGGACACCAGGTTCTGGAGAATTTACCCCACTCAGCCCTACCCTCCGACACCCCATGTAGGCTCCACCCTCAAGCCGGGCCCTACCCCCAAGCCCACACCCTGCCTCGAGGCCCCGCCCCCTCGAGGCCCCGCCCGCCGGCGCCCCACCCCTCGAAGCCCTGCCCACCCGAGGCCACGCCCTTCGAGGCCCGGGCCCGTCTCCTGCCACCGCCGGAGGAACGCGCTGACCAAGCCCCAGACCTAGGAAGATGGGGTCCCGCCTCACCTTCCGACCCGGCCCCGCTGGGAAGTATTTGAGGGTAGGGAAGCCGTGCACAGGGAAACCCTCCAGCTCATTGGCTGTGGCGTCCAGCTCCGCGATGATGATGTCCTCGTGGTCCTTGTACTTCTCGGCCAGGGCCTCCCAGGCCGCAGCCATGTCCTTGCAGTGGGTGCACCACGGGGCGTCTAAGGCAGCGGCGCGTTGGCACAGCCAGCAGGGACCCCCAACTGCCCACTGCCCCCCACCCACTGCCTTCCACACTCACAAAACTTGATAAACACGTTCTTGGTTTCATCGAAAGCCACCTGCTCAAAATTCTTGCCCACGAGGGTCTTGACCGGCCTCTGATCCCAGTCGGGGGGCACCTCCTGGCTCAGGAGGTAGGGCTGGGGGGACGGGGCCAGGGGCTCCAGTGGCGATCTCCCCTGGGAACCACTGCTCCCACCCCCCACTCCCCGGGTGGGCAACTCAGCAGCAGACCTTGACGTGGCCCCCGAGGACGGCGTGGCAGAATGTGGTGATGGAGGCCGCGGTGACTGGCCCGCCATCCACAGGCGCATACTTCTTGGTGGTCTCAATGTTGATGAAGCGCAGGGTGGGGGCCTCCTTGGCCTTCAGACCAAAGTACTGCAGCACGTGGTCATTGTCGGCACCCACGTCCACCACCACAAACAGCACCTGCCAACAGGGAGTCTGTGGTGGGCAGCCCACCTCCCTACCACCCCCTCCCTGCCCCGGGCCAGCCAGTACCTGTCCCCGGAATGGGGGAGCTGCCTCCCCAAAGCCCACCAGCAGCTCCCGGTGCTGGGCCAGCGTCTGGTTGACGAACAGCAGCAGGTGGTTGAGGATCCTGGCCGCGAAGATCTTCGGAGAGGTCTGCGAGGGCAGGCCGAACTGACGGGCGCTGGCTCCCACGGACACACCCCCACCCCTGCCACTGCTCCTACAGCCCAGCTGACCTGGCTGTTGAACTCCGTGACCAGGTGCATGCTGTGCATGAGGAGGAAGTGCGACAGGTCCCCCTGGTCCAGGCCCAGCTCTTCGTCCACTGGGAAGTCGGCCCGACCCTCGTCAAACTGGACGGCACTGGGTCGGTCAGCAGGAGCCACAGCCCCGACCCCCAGCACCCACCTTGGCCCTGTGACCCACCTTCTTGAAAAGGACCACGGTGTCCTTGGTAAGGCCAAACTTCTGAAAGAGCTTCGGCTGGTCGGTAAGGCCAAAGGTCATGTCCAGGGCGCCCTGGGCCAGGGCCAGGAAGGTAGCCACATCCTCATCCTGTAGGTCCTAAGGAGCCCAAGCCTGTGAGGTCAGCTGGCACCACAGGCCCTGCTCCCATGGCCTGGACCACAGTGGCACCAGCTCACCTGGAAGAAGCCAATGACCACGACATCCCGGCCGTCTATCAGTGCTTGGGCGCCCTCTTCATCCTCCAGCCGGGTGGCACTGGGCCCCAGCCTCCGCCTCAGCCACTCAGCGATGCCGTTGGCCTCCCTGGGGCCTGTGAAGAGTCCCCTCAGCCTGGGCCCAGCCCAGCCCCGCCCCTGCCCGCCGGTGCCTGCTGCTGGTACCAGAGTACTCCTCCGGGTGTGTGCGGTTCCCGTCACGGAAGAACTTGAGCGTGGGGTATTCCGTCACAGCAAACTCCTTGGTCAGCTCTGCCTCGGCGGGCCCGTCCACCTTGGCCAGCCTGGCTTCGGCGGACTCTGCCGCCAGCAGGGCAGCGGCCTTGCTGTATTCAGGGGCCAGTGCCTTGCAGTGCCCACACCAGGGGGCATCTGGGGGATAGGGTCATGAGCGCCCCGGGCCCCATGGCCCCAGCCTTAGCCCCGGCTCCCGCCCAGCTGGAGCTGAGAGACCTTGGCGTCAGTCAGATCTGGCAGGGAGCATTCCTGTCCACACACCCCGCTCCTTCGGGGGCCCATGTGAGCCTCTGCCCCAGAGCCAGACTCCCCAAGGCCCCAAGTCGGGGGGGCAGTGGCGGCCCCATCCTGCCAGCGTGTTTGAGAAGAATCCTCCAGCTGCCACTCCCTGAGGCCGGCAGCCTGGCCACCTGTGTCTGCTTGTGGAAGCCTGCAACCTAGGAATGGCTTTCCCATGTGTAAACGTTTATAAAAATCTACCGAATGAGCAGGGCCTGAATGCTATCTGGCTCCTTACAGAAAGAGTTTGCAGACGGACGATGATCAAGGGTCTTCCCTGCACCTGCACCTCCCTCCCCAGTCCCACCCTCCCCTGCTCAAGCTGCACGACACCCCCCCAGGCCAGCTCAGTCCCAGGGCTTTGCTTCCAGGAGCACGGTGGGGGCCGAGTGCTCAGTGGGGAAGCCCTCTCACTGCACAAGCCCTGGACCCCCAGGGTGGGGAGCTGAGCCCCCTGGGCGGCCCCGGGGGGTCCTCCAGCCCACCGGCCCCGTGCACTCACAGAATTGCACCAACAGCGAGCGGTGCTTCCGCAGGGCCGAGCCCAGGTTGCGCTGGCTCAGCACCAAGATCCCATCCTCCTCAGGGACCTCCTCCTCGGGGGGCTCTTCCTCGGGCTCCCCCGGCCCCGGGCCCTGTCCCCACAGGACTGAGGCCCCAAGTAGCAGCAGCAGTGGGAGCAGGAACTGGCCGTCCATGGCAGTGCCGGGCCCACGAGGCAGGGGGCAGATAAGAGGGCCGGGGGCCAAGCTGCAGCTGCCACGTGGCGCCCAGTCCTAGTCCCAGGAGGATAAGGCCACAAGGCTCCCCCCACCCACCCCAGGGGAGGGGAGGCAGACAGAAGCAACACCCAGGGCACTGAGACAAGGCGACTTTAATAGGACTGTCTGGGGCACAGTGCCAGCCCAGGGAGGGGGCATCCCAGGACGGAGCAGAGGATGTGGGGGGTGTGATCAGTGACTGAGGGGCAGGGAAAAGCAGGACCCCGAGTGGGAGGACAGCCCCTGGGGTGGGAGGCGTTCAGCTCTTCCAGTCTTGGCAGATGTGGAGGCCCCACTCCCAGGACAGGTGGTCTGTCCTGTCATCATCCGTGAAGAAGGACGTGACCACATAAGCACCCCGCACCAACACTCCTCGAGGCACTTCCTCCACCGGGGTCACAAACTCATACTCCTGGGCACTTGGGCCGTAACTGCCCACCATGTACACGGCCTTGTCCACTGGGGGAGGGGGAGGCTGTCAGGGGCCATCCTCTGCCCCACCTGACCCTCCCCACAGCCCCCCCCCCCCCCCCCGGGCCGGCCCCGCCTTGCCGCCCTCACCACGCAGGCCCTGGCGGTAGGTGTGATGCAGACACTTGAGGCCACTGACGATCTCCTTATTGACCTGGGGGACAGAGGGTGTTAAGCGCCCCTCTGGGGGGCTGACCTTGAGCTGGCAGGCATCCCCCATGACAGCTACCCTCACCTTGAAGGTAATCTTCACTTTGTAATCAACACCCTCCTTCAGGACAAACACCTGGTTTTTCAGCTCGGCCAGCTCCCCTGTTAGGGAAAGTGCAGCTAGGGAATGACCTCCTGGGATATCACAGACCCTGCCCCAGGAGCCCCAAGGGGGGCAGTACCTGTGAGGTCCATGGTGATGGGCCCTGGAGCCTGCTCAGACATCAGCGTCAGCCTGGTCACCTGCACATTGGGCAGGCTCAGGTCTGGGGAAAAACCGGAAGTCACCAGAGTGCTCTCCCTGGCCTTCGCCCCTCCCCTCCCCTCCCAGCCCAGGGCTGTGCATACCCGTGACGGGGGGCAGGGGCCCCAGCAGTGCCTGCTTGTACTTGGCCAGGCTCTCATCATCCGGGTCCAGCTGCTGGATCTCCTGGAGGCTCTTCCTCCCTGGGGCCCGGTACTCAGGCACAGCCTCATCCAGTGCCTCGTCAGGGGGCAGCTGTCTCCCCTCCTTGTCAGTCAGGAGGACTGGGGGTTGGGGAGGTGCGTGAGCCGCTGCCACCAGCAGACCCCGGCGTTCACTCATCATACTGGAGGCCCCCCATCTGGCCAGCTGTGCTGCTCACGGCCCACAGGAACTCAAAGGAAGCAATGGAGGCTCAGGGAGAGAGGTGGGGGTTAGGGAAGGGGATGTGCGCTCAGAGAGGGAGTGCTGCATGGGGGCTCAGGGAGAGGGGTGGGCTGGGAAGAGACTGAGCAGCACCCACACCCGAACCCTTTAGGAAAGGCCCTGGGGGTTGGAGAAGGTTCCTGAGAGATGGAGCCAAGTGACATCCCTGAGGCACCAGCTGCCTTCTCTGACCCAGCCATCCATCTAGGGCTCCTCCCTGACTCTGAGGCCAAAGATGGGGCAGCACGGGGGCAGACCCTAAAAGGGGGATAGCCCCAAGGACTGGAGGCCACTACTGTGGACCGCTGACCTCCAGGGTCTTCCCTAGAGCAGAGGCTCTGCCCACCACATCTCTTCACATCTCTGTATACCTTCCCACTGTCCTAGGGGTTCTTGCCGGGGGTGCTCCTGGGTCGTAGAGGCGGTTCTCTCTAAATCCCTCAGCTTATGCTCTGGGGCTACCTCCCTGGGTGCCTTGAGACTCAGTCTCCTAGAGCCCCTTGCCATGATGCCCTGGGGCAGGGGTCTCTCTAAGCCCGTTCCCATAGTGTTTTGGGACAGGGTCTTTCCGATTGTGCGCCAGGCTTCTCAGGGATCACCACACGCCCTGAAGGAGCCCCAGCCCCACCCAAGGGAGAGGAGATCTCAGGAGCAGGTTCCCAAGGGGAGAGGGTCCCCCTGCAACCCTGGCTTCACAAACAGACCCGCCCACTCTTGGCTCCTTTGCCCCGAGTGTCTGGCCTGGACGAAGCCCCCCACCCCCGACAGAGCCCAATAGGGGGACCGCGCCAGGATTTCCCCACGCGCGCCCCCAAAGTTTCCGCGGGGGAGGCCCAGCCCCCGCCCCAGGCTGAAGCCTCCCCAACCCCCCCCCC